GTATTGTACATGTAGAAGAGGAAGCTACTCGGTCGACTTGCTTCAAGACAGCGCGACGACTGGCGCCATCATCGCAGGCCCCTGACCCTATCAGAAGTGGACAGCCACGAAAGAGACTCTTTGGAGAACAGAAATGAGCTGTGCCACCAGCTGGCGCGCCAAAGGAGGCCTTTCTTTGCGGCTTGCAGCGCGACTCACGTCGGAAAAAAGTATCTTTTTTTCCATGCCTCTCCCGTGCACGTGGCTGCGAGCATTCCTCCATCCACTCCGAGTACCCTACGCAACGGCGCCCTTGCTTCTCCAGGGTATGTCGCTGCGAAGTGCGCCTGCCGCGAGCCGGCAGTTGCGAGGCAGTACCTTGCGCGGTATAGAGGCGGCGACCAAACGGTGTGTTTTTATTTGCCTAACCACACGATACAAGACGGCTTCTCATCGCGTGCGAGCGCGGCTCTGCACGCGTGGGTGATGCCAGGTCCTACTACATATTGTCCATTGCGTGGGTAGCGCATGTGTCAATTACTACAGCTCAACTCGGTGCGTTTGGTGAGAAAACGTCTCAGCGCGAATTTTATTACTTGGAGTGTTGTTGAGCCCATGTATACGAGGGTGACCTTGTCGCAGCCATCCATTGCGCCAAGTAGCTGCGCCGTGATAGTCTGTTTTTGCGCCATGGGCTTTCTATGACGTCGTCGCGTGGTCGAAGAAACGCTGCGAGCGCGAACGCTTCCATGGCACGGGGAAAACGACTGCATCTCGTGAGGTTCGCCGACCATAGCCAATGAATTTACCACGCAAGATACTGAGCGAAGGTGCGTTGTGTACATGCAACAGTCCGTCGCGGCCTTGTGCGCTCGTCGTCCTCTCGTCGTTGCCAGCAATCGCACCCGACTCGTCAACATCGCGCGCCTTGTGGAGAGGGAAACACGCCACGTGTCCATGGCACTCTCAAAGGAGGGCTTCTCGCTGCTGTGCGAACCAACGACTGCTTCTGTCGTCGAGCGCCAACCATTATTCTCAGCTTGAACAAGAGCTGCATTTCTGCTTTGCTTGCAGATCTGGGTCCAAGGCTATAAGAATGCGTTTACACGAATTCTCGATAGCTTGCCATGCGCAGGCTGTCGACTTGGGGTCGTACTACTGATGGTTGTTGAGTTGTGCTCGCCTCGACGAGTGGAATCCCACGGATCGGAATGCTCGTCGCCCCGACGCCATGCCGTCCATTGAGGCACACGTGCATGCTTGCACTCGAAGGCGGTTTTCGTTGTTGTCGGCGGCGGCGCAGCGGAACATTGTCTCTGAAGCGACGCGTCGAACGGCAGCCATTAGAACCGGATCTTGGCATCGGATCTTGAAGGCTGGTACGTTGAAGTTGCAGTTCCGCACCGTGTGGTTGTCATTGATCTAAATCCGCGTGGCAGAGCCGAGACCGCTCTCAACTGCTCTCAACTGCTCTCAACTGATGACGATCTCGTGAGGAAACAAACAAGTCCTATCTGCACAAGTGTTTACTAGTACAGGACCACTGGTGTGCGGCAAGATGACAGGGCGGTGGTTCATCGCCTTAGGCTACAAACTAGCTACTTACTTTAGCAAAAGCATAAATCGTCCTTGGCCATAGCGAGGCCATCAACTTGACGGCCTTGGCGATAGTGACGAAATGTATGTGGTGAAATCACAGAACGGAAATACGGCTACTTTTGGCGAATCAAATCAAGGAAACATGACGCTACGCACGCCGTGGAGCTCCTCTTTGAGCTCGTCAATGTACTCGTGTAGAATCTTGCCCCCAAACTCGAACCGCTCGACGAGCTTGATTTTTGCAGCGACGATGCCACGCCACTCGGCGGCGAGGCGCGGGTCCTCGGCGGGCGGCACCCACACAAACACGTCGTCGCGATTGTACCCACCGACGGCAGCGACGCCCGGCCGCAGAGCGCTGCGTTGCACCGGGGTCGCCGTTACCGTCGGCTGCACGGGACGCTCGCCCGCGTCGGGTGTGATAGGGGTTGTCGTCTTCGTCGTCGCCATCGTCGTTCTTGAGCGGCGCCTTGTCGACGGCGTGGTGTTGGGTAGCTAGTCCCATCAGTACTTATCGCGTCTGTAGGTGCCAATCAATGG